TATTTATTCACTCACACCCACGTACATAACATCTATAAGTTATACTATATTCATGTGTATATATATGTTTTCCCTTTTTGTTTCCAGCTTCGTGGTGTTCATGGTGAAGAAGTTCGTGATGAAGCCACTGGGCGTGGAGGTGACACACATACACACACACACACACACGCACACACTTACATACATATACATATATGCTTTATAATATATTCCTGTGAATCATGTGTTTTTCTTACTTCCAGCTATATATATATTGCATAATATAGTCATGTGTTTCCTTTGTTTCCAGCTTCGTGGTGTTCATGGTGAAGAAGTTCCTGATGAAGCTACTGGGTGTGGAGGTGACTGTGCGGGGCGAGGACAAGCTCAAGCAACAGGAGCCCGCCATCTTGTGCATCAACCACCAGAGCTCCGTGGACATGCTGCGTGAGTATTTCAGTGTGATATACCGTTGTTTCTAGTGTCTGTTTGTCTGTCTGTCTGTCTCTCTGTTTGTTTGTTTCTCTCTACCTACCATTTCTCTTTCTTTCTTGTTCTTTCTATTAGTGTGCATGTTTCCCTATCTGTCTTTTTTTTTCTTCTCTTCCCCCTCCCCTCTCTCAGCCCTGTTTTTCACCTGACCCAATGCTTATCAACACTTTCCTTTCCTACTCTACTTTTTCTACATTGATGAGGAGGAGGTGGGTGGTTCGTGGGTGCTCTGGTGTGGTTTGCTCCTTCTTTCCTATCAAACATCTATCATCTTTTTCTCCCCTCCTTTTTGTGTTTGTTATTCCCTTGTAACACTTAATCTTGTGGCGCTCATATGACCTCATGCAGTTTCGAGCGCCATAAAACCTCTACTAAAACTAAAGCCCCGTTCTACACCTGACCCCATAATCACACTCTCCTTTCTTACTCTACTTTTTCTTCGATGATGATGCCGATAAAGACCTCGACAATCTACATCATAATATAACAACAACGTCTCTGCTCTCCTCTCTCATCATCCCTGTTCTACACATGGCCCAAAGCTAATCAACACTCGCCTTTCCTACTCTACTTCTTCTTCAATGATGATGAGGAGGAGGAGGATGATGACAATCTGCAATAATTGAATACTAAGAGCAATGTCTCTGTTCTCCCCTCTCTCATCAGCCCTGTTCTACACGTGGCCCAAGAACACGGTGTGCCTGGCCAAGAAGGAGCTGTGGTACTTCGGCACATTCGGCCTGGGTGCCTGGCTGTGTGGCACCGTCTACATCGACAGGCTGAACCACGAGCGGGCACGCAAGACCATGGAGGATACCGCTAACCTCATCAAAACCAATAAGGTTTCTATCTTTTTAATTTTAAACCTGCTGATCTTCTCTCAGGAGTAGTTTTTCTCTATTAAATATTTTTGGCCTTTGTGAAATTATCTCGATTTAATCATCATTGTCTTCTTTAAGGGCCAGATTTGAAGAAGACATTGGCAGTTATTTGATTTCCTTTTCTTTTATGAAATTTTCTCTCTTTAGCTATGTAATAATGATTATTGCTTTAAATCTGTTGTTTGTGATATTAATTAATTTATGGTCTATAATACATTGTATAGTCTTTTGAGTCGGCTGTTTACAACATTTGTCTCTATTATGGAGATCAATGTTTACTTTTATTTCGATTTCTTTCCACACTACTTTGTGTCTGTCTAATCTTCCATCCGTGCTGTTGTCTTTTTAGTCATTGATACAGATTGTTACTTCTATTTTGTCTTCTATCCTCTTGATTTTGTCTCTTTTTATTCTTGTATCCATACTATTTTGTCTCTTTATAGTCTTCACAATATGTAATATATTGTCCCTGCCTTTCACTTAGCCCGTGATAAAACATAATTTATAGCTTAATGCCAGAGGTAAAATATTTCCTACACAGATTTGGCTTGACAGGACAAAGATATAGATTTATTTTAATATGCTTTTCACTATGCTTTACATTGATCAACGTTTGATTTATTAATTTACTGGGGGTTTTTTGACTGGCTTTTTTTTTTAGTTTTGTTTTAGATATGTTTGTACTTTGTACTGCTCACTGTTGTTGGGGAGGAGGGGGGGGGGGAGGGGGGGGGGGGGGTAGATAACAATTCGTGAGTGGTGAATATCGACTGCTTTCGCTCTTTCTCTTTTCCAGTATTTTGTGTCTCTTTTTGCCTCCCGTGGCTCATTCTTCAATTTTGTTTATTCGTCTCGGTTTTGTTTTTGACGTAGGGTAACTTTTACATGGCATTTATCGATTGCGTCGGCTCTGTATCTTGTTCATTCTGTTTAGGCGCTCTTTATGCAAGAGCGATCGCTGCGGCTCTTGTGTCTTTCTTTTTACACAAAGAAGAGAGAGAAAAAAAGTATTTCTCAAAGTATAGTTTGTAAGCATAGATCAATGCTGTTTTACGGTCGTTTTTTTGTTAAACCAATTTCACTCTTTATCTACTTCTCCTTTCCGCAGATGGTTTGAGAGCGCCACTGGAAGGCCTTTCTTATTTACTACATGTATCCCAGTTTTGTTTCGGTTTGTCAGTCTGTCCTGCTCTTCCCCAACACTAAATAAATGACTGTTATTGTGTCGGTTTTGCTTCTCTTTTTCCAACGAACAATCTTTTCTTTCTTTGTGGGTTTGCTCTGACTTTTTTTTTTTTGTCGGAGGTGTTTTTTTAAATTTCTGTGTTTGTGCTTATTTACTGTTTTATTTAGATCAGTACAGGCAAAAAGGCAAGTCGTATCTTTTGTCACAGTCGCAGATTTGTGTTCTTCCGAAAAAAATCTTGTTCGAAAAAAAAAGAAAAAGACTATTTTCTTTTATCGTTGATCCATATTTGTCTTTTCATAATTATTTGTTTTTGTGGCTGTTCAAAAAAAAAAAAGGAACACTAGCTCATGTCTCCACTTAGGTACCAGTTGTTTTCGCTGCATGTCTTTCTCACTCTTCCTGTGGGTTTTGTTTGTTTTTGTTTGTTTGTTTGTTGTTGTTGTTGTTGTTTTTTTGTTTTTTTGTGCTTTTTTTTTT